TTTAGATAATTTTTCTATATATTAGAAGGAATGAATCAGAAAAAAATCCAACAAAAGGATAACACAAACACAAATATATAATCGGACGGATATACTTCTACTCGTACGCTTGTAAGTACGTGTATTATATATGTATCATTGACGTGTGTGTATGCATTGTGTGGAACTGTAAACAACATGATTAGCACTTTCAGATAAGTTAGTACAGTTTCCATAACCAAAGTAACATAACTCATCCGTTTAGACTGATCAAACCAGTATACATCACAATGCAAATCTCGGAGAAATTTTTATTAATGCCAGCTATTAAACCACTTCGTTTGATAAATCTGCTTTCATCGTCATTTCATTTGCATATCATAAAAATTCAAAATTAAAACATATTTTGAAAAAAGTATAATTGTGATGTCTCAAAAATGGATCAATAAACATGAAAAAAAAATTTACAGTACTCATTAATATCAAAGACAGTAATTCATTTCTAAATCGATATAGTAAAAACCTTTTTAGATATTTATTCTGGTGAAAAAATTCGAAACAAAAGTCGATAAGAATATAAAAGTCAGCCGAAATAAAATCCAGAAGAACCATATAAAATGTTACTCATGCTTGTGATTAATATGTTGTATTATGACGTCCAATACTTCACAGTACACTATGGTGATAATAAAAACGTTAATAACGAGAAAGCAGTGATAATGCAAATATAAGTTTAGTAATGCTGAAACAATAATAAATAAGAACGATGATATAACAAATGATTTAATCAGTACAGACAAAATAATCAGATGCGATTTCATGGATCTAAGTACTAAAAAAATGGGAAAATTTCTACACTAAGTAAAACTGAAAAGAAGTGAAAAAATTCAATTTCAAGCTAAAAAATTAAATTCCAGAAGTTAGTTACATGCCTTGAATTAAAAAACGATATTTCATATGCAAATATCACGAAAGTTTTACTAACGTATCAACAAAAGCAACAGTGCTTCAAAAAATTGAAAGCATCCACAATTTCAAATGCCAACGAGCGCAAATGGAATGAATAATCAAATGACCAAAGCGCGTAACCCATCTAACGGTCCGTTAATTTGTTTCGTCTATAGTGAAAATTTTCAGGATAAATGACGTTCTTAATCGGTTCCTCTTACAACGTACGATTTTAGACGATGTTTAACGTCCGTCTCTTACGTCATGCATACAATTATTTTCTCATTTTCTTACTGTCTGGACAACAGCATTAATCGTTTTATGGATCATTTATCGATTATTTAATAAATGACATATTTTTTTCAGCAATTAATTTATTCATCATTTACTGTTATAGCTCATTTTTTCGTATTACCGTATTTACGATTACGTTATTGATTGTTTATAGATTATTTTCTTCAGGGCTACTTTATTATCGCTTGCTCAAAAGTTGCGCATTTCATAGTTCTCTCTTAATTAATGATCACTTACAGTTACTAGTTTACCGTCGATTATTAGTTATTTTATCTTAATTAATAAGAACGATTTCAGGGTTATAAAAAAGAAATGATGAATGATAAAAAAGATAAGAATGGGGACAAGAATGACCAGCTGGACCTTAGTTCGGTAAATTTCAACAGTCAGGCATATTTGAGTAATTTATTTCAGAAGAAAAATTTAGATGAATTGGTTCAGGTGGAAGAAGATATGATCTATAATGTTAGTTGTTTTGAATTTTAATTTATGATAAAAAGACCGAATAAATTTAAATTTTATTTTTGTTTGAAAAAGTTCAAATTTTGGATTGTTTTAAAAATTTATTTTATTTCTTTAAATTTTGCATTAAGAGAATGAATTAATTGTATGGTCTTACGATAAGATATATTCCATAGCGCTGATTTTTTGAGATTTTGATTAGAAAAGAAATACGATTTGATAAAATTTCCTGTTTTTTTCAAATTTTAGATTCAGTTGATAATTTGGTAATATAATGTTCTCAATTGTCATGGATAATTCTTTAGGTTAGACGGCTTGATTCCGAAATGCAACAACTTGTCTACGAAAATTACAACAAATTCCTCACAGCAACAAGTACTGTGAAGAAAATGCAAAATGATTTCATGGAAATGGGTCAAGTCAGTCAAGCTTGATCTTATGAATATTTTAATTATTTTTTGTTGTCCGAATATCTTCTAGTATTTGGAATTATTTAAGTCTATATTCTGAATATTTTCTTATTCATAATATTTAGGAAACATTTTTTTATCCATTTTGGACATGTTTTTTCAGCTCTTATAGTCGACCCATAAATTCATGTTTAATTTACATTTTTTATAATGAATCCTTCGCTTCGATGCTGTTTATCTGACTTCTCGTTTAGTAAAAACTGAAATATTTCGTTATAGTAGAAAGAGAAGGGGTAGAAAATTGGGAGTTGGACAGAAATAATAATTTAAACTACCAGTTGAATATTATTATGATGTTAGATATATTTGCTGCATGGCATATCTTAGATTTTTTTAAAATCATGCTATTATATAGGACTTGAAAAATTGATGAAACCAAAGAGTTGATGCCGACTCTGCTTTCTGTGGGCACATAGTACGAAATTTTCCCTTTTTTGCAGATGTCTACACTTACTTATTTATAAATTTCCTTTAGAAAATGGAGAATTTATCGAAACGGATGGGCAAAATAGCAACATTATCAAAAGATCTTTCCACAACATTCAGCAAACATCGTGCAAATGTATCACAACTGTCTGATGCTAATAAAAAAGTGAAAGACTTGCAGTTTTTGCTATGTTTGCCACAAAAGTTACAAGTAAGTGTGATTTAAGGATTTTCTTTGAATTTTTGAAAATTATCCGGTGTTTAAATAAACTTGCAAAGAATATGATTACATTTGCTTTTCCTTCATTTACTTTCCTTTTTTGCTTACTAGGCCTTGGTTGAACAGAGAAATTATGAGGAAGCAGTGAAAATTTATTCAAGGACACGGTCATCTCTTTTACTCTGCAAAGACATATCTTCAATTTCTGATATCTATGATGAAGCAGTAGCTATAATGGCAACAGTTGAAGACCAGGTTGATCGTATTTCAATTAGAATTTTAAATCCTGCGTTTTTTTTCTTTTTTAGTTTAGAAATGTCGGCAAGCAATTCAATGATGACTAATATAAATCGACACGTGCGGAACCAATTAGATTATATTAGGAAAGAAATTTTTTTCCAGTAAGATTTCATTTAAACTAATCGTCATTATTAAGTGATACCTAAAAATCTCATGTTTTCAGCATGTTTTTTAGTGAATTTAAATTGGTCTTTCAATTTCAGGAAAATTTTAATTGCAACTCATTCTATTTTTTTATCATTTTAATCTGTCTGATGTATTTTTTCATACTCTCTTCATGGTTTATTACTTTTCAGTTGAAACAAATCATCTGTGGTTGTCTCATTTCATCTGATGAACTTTCCCAAGCCATAACTCTACTGCTTAAGTTGGACGTTCAGTCGTCGACTATTTACAATGATTTTCTGGCTAGTTGCAAGCGTAATTTAACTGATCAGCTTAGAGCAATGCGAACACAGAGACAGGTTCATAATGAAATTTAATTAGAACTTACTGGATGGTATTCAATAAATATGTTGTTTTTTCTTCAGATGATCGTTTTAGGATACAGCAGATGTTCTGGAGTTTGTGGATAATTGTTGCAGCACCTTTTTAACCGATTTATCATTAGTTACAACAATAAATCAACGTTTTTTCCCAAATGAGGTTGAAATTTGTATTTCAAATGCCTGTTGTTTCATACTGTCGGCTATTGTGTGATCTCAGTTTATATAAATACACTCATCTAGAAAACTGAATTTCCAGTATATGATATTTATATGAAAACTTCCAGCAGCATTCTTTTTCGTGAAATCAGTTGTAATCATGTCATCTAAACAGATTGTTCTAACAACTAAATCATAAATGTTTTCCGGGAAGTTACTATATATTTGTATTCTTTGTAATAAGGTTTAATTTCTAGGTTAAAATTTGATATCGACAACCTTTTTATTAAAAAAAAAACAGTATTTCTGTTCCAGGTAATTGCAGGTAATGTAAATGAATTGATGGATTCACTAATGAATCAGTTTGAAGAAGTTGTTAGGATGCGTTTTCTGGAAGAAACAGATGCTGCAGAATGCGCGATTGTTGTACGGGCTCTTGATCGTTTTTACCGTCGTATGTCATCGTGTAACCAGCTTATACGTGGTTAGTTCTTGTGTTTTAATTACCATGTATAACTTTTTAGAATTTTTGATACTATTCAACTTTAAAAATTCTTTTGTGTTTATATGTCAGTGAAAAGTAAGTGTGGACGGTATTCTAGATTTTGTAAAAGATGTTTTAACCTTCTCATTCATCATATTTCGTTCCACAAATTTTTTTTTCAGGTGTAGATTATTTTCCACTGTGTATTTCTATGTTAAATATCGTTTCAAGGCATGAAATAGAACTTGCACAAGGTCAAGTTGTGGAACGTGTTGGTTGGTCTTTGCAACAGGTTTAGGCTCACTTTTTTCTTTAAAAGTAAAACCTTCTATAGAATGTTTGCTTATTCATTTACTAGTTATTTAAATATTACATTCATTGCTCTCCACATCTTCAAATAAAATGAATATTATCGGTAATATGAGATTATTTTAGATTCAAGAAAAACTAACTGCACCGGGGACATCTGTTTCGAATACATCAGCACTAAACGACATAATTTCACAATTGGAACATTCCCTCCTTGTTCAAATCAAAACGGCCCTTGCATCCTTGCTTCTTTTTACCGCTTCTGATATGACGTTTTCATCACTTGATCAAGGTAAATTTCCATCATGTTTTTGGCTGCAAACCATTTCACTTTTTGAGGTTTCAGAAATTTTTTTAACTTCTTGTAACTTAATCACTCAGCAAGATGATTAAACTGGTAGCAGATATGTTCATGTTTATCATATTATCAACAAATGATACACTGAACTTTGACATATTCCAGTAATTATTAATTTGTGATCGTAGACTAATAGTAATCCTAGTTATTAATGGCTGAGTATCGCCTAATGATGATTGAAGAATCATAGGTAATATTATGTGGTCAAACTCGGAATAGTCCGTCACTGGTTTAGTTTTTGTTATGTCAATTACGCATTCTATTTTTTGGTTGAATTTCTACTCGTTAACATCAATAATTTTCCATTGTTACATTTGCATTTTCAGTTCAATTTGCACTTGGTTTTGGTATTGATGTTCACGAATTATTGGTTGTAAAATCTCTGGATGAAATAGCGCAGTTAGGTTTGAAATATTGTGATGTTATGAGTCAAACGATGCCATTATTACCCGTTGTTTACATCATTTTAGCACAACTTTTTATCAACATCGAAAGTCATTCTGTGGTTTATATCATGAATTTATGTCAAGAGCAATTCAGGTCTCATAAATTTTGTTTCATTTTGGTTTTTACTTAGTTTCTATTTGAAATTGCCTTTTTTTCTCCCAGTTAAAATAGCATTGAGCAAAGAATTTAAGTAATTCATTGTCCAAGCAATTCCATTCAATTGACTTGTATATATATAATATGCATTTATTAAAAATTTTGCTTGTACAGCCTCACTTTTTTTCTTAATTATGGATCTTTTGTTGCATATGACACCATAATCTTAGCATATATTCTTGAAATTCAAAATATATGATTTCTCATCGAATGGTAGTTTTTGGTAGAAATTATTATTATTATTGTTCTGTTGTTCCGTATTTCTTTCTGAAGACATTAAATTTCCGGCGGAAAAGCCTTTTGACGTTAACTATAGTCCACCTCTCTTCATTAAACTATTTACACCTCAAACGCTGATAGTTTTATTTGTTTAGCAAGATTAATTGACAAATGAAAAGAAACTGATTTTAGATTGGTAGCAGAGAAGGAAAAAGGAGAAAAATCGCGGTTGAGTTCAGTTGAGAAAGTGAGAGTTCGCTTGCGCACAGCTGCTTATGAACTTCTGAAATATTACGTTTACCTTCAAGGGATCAATACTTCTGAGGCATGTTAAAAATTTAAAAAATGTTTTTTATTTCATACAAATTGAAGAAATTAAGGAAATATGAAGAGCATGGGTCTAGATATGTTTCATGTTAGCGAATTTTCTTCTCAAAACATAATTCATCAAATTCCGTTTTCTGGAAATTGTTCTTCTATGGATTTTCAAGATCGAGAAAAGCTTTCGGTTTCACTGCTTAAATTTGATTATATAATCTAAAAGTTTCAACGTTCACATATAGCCTCAGATCCAGCATCATCTTTAAGATTTTAAACGTAGTATTGGATCTGACAAGCATAAATGAATATCATAGAAAAAAGTATTTCTACCATCGAAGAACAAATGTTCATTTCATTATAGCTATCTACATTAAATCATAGTAATATTGTAGTAGTTTTTATATTTTCCTATTTTTTTTATACTGAAAGATTAGAATTCATCTTGCTGTGATTCAATGCTCAATTGTTTCTTAAGGTCTTAATACGCAGTATTGAATCTCGAGACTGGTTAAATTGTGTTGAACCAACAGCAGTGCGACCTGCTGTGAAGCATTTTATCGACGATTTAGCTTCCATAAATTCAACTATTAAGCCATTTGTAAGTATTTTGTAAAATACCTTTGTAGCTATCGCATTATGATGTGAAAAATTATCAAACATGGAGGTACAGGAATACGGAGTAATTGATTTGCGCAATTTTTTTTTTTTTTTTTTCAACTCGAAAGAATAGTGTTATGAATGTAATCGATAAATGGAGTAAATGAATGATTCATCAAAATTACAGTAATATCATTGCTCCTGGTAATGCTATGAGATGAACTGACAGAATGATCCCATCTTGCAATCTTGTTTTTAAACTGATAATCAATAACACAGTACAACGACTACTTCTTGTTTTCCGTTTCTATTTTTTTTAATGTTTGAAAGAATTAATTTATGAAAATTTTATTGTAAGAGGTTGAATTAAACAATCAAATACTGATATCTTCTTTTTTTTCTTCTTGGACTCATCTTTTATCTAAGTCTATTATGAGATTGCAGTGATTATCGAATCACTTCTGATAATTGAGTAAATCTTAAATTTTACTTCTAGATGGATGAGGGTACTCGTAAAGAACGACTGTTAGAAAGCAATTCATCACGTTCACATTCAAGACGAACATTCGATACATGCTCAATCAGTTCAACATTGGATAAGTTATGGTCTGAAAGGATAGATTTTTGTACAAATGTGGAGGTAAGCTTATTGTTATTATTTTTTCTCACAAATTTCACATACTTAGACAAAGGGTACATTAGGTGAAGAAAAGAATAATAAGGAAAGGTAATAGAAAGTTAGATTTTAAAACGAAGTGTGATTTTCTTAGTAACATTTACCGCTTCGTTGTATGGGCATAAAAGCTGACCTGAAGTATCTGACTTCCACGCTCTAGTTACTTTTGTGGAGCAGTATTATATGTTTCTCAGTAAAAAATTTTTTAATTTAGCGTGACAAGAGGAATTTTGAGGTTATTGCCTTTTTAAATATTTTCAATCTTCAAGCACTTTCAATTTTCAGTTTAATCGAATGTCAGTCTTGACGGCCATTGTTAATGTTGCTTTGAAATCTTTTCTTGAGTGTGTCCGGTTGCAAATTTTTTCCAGATTTGGTTTACAACAAATCCAGGTTTTTTTTTTACTTTATAGAAATTATAGAAATTCCCCTCATTTTTAAGAGTTATATGGAAGTATTTCTGGATTTTGGTTTTGGTGTTAGAATGATCACTTAATACCACAAAAAAATAATTTTAATTGGATCATTTTTTAAATACAAGGAATTTAATCATTTATACTTAAAATTGAAGTCAATATAATTGATAGGTGGACTGTTGTTTTTTACGACAGAATTTATGGCACTATTTGTCGGATGAACAAATTGCACTTTCGCTAATCGATGAAATTGTTTCGTCAGCAGTACATCGTTCAATAGATCCAAAATTGATGGAACCCTCTGTTGTTAAGGCCTTATGTAATCATTGATGTTTAATTTTACTAATAAAGGAAAAAGTTTAAAAACTGGTTAATCTAACTCCTTTATCAAAGTAATCTTCAGATGATTTTCACTTCTGTTATTTAAACTTTTGAATCAAATTCCTATTGTATAATTCTGGTTCAATTACTTATAATTTATAATGCACGAACCTGACTGCGGAATACTGTATAAACATGATTGTATATGTAGTTACCCGGATGTTTTTCCAACCGTTTTATATTTTGAAAAATTCCAACCAAATTTAAAATTGAAAAAAGGTTTTTCCATAAAACTGCTTTTTTTAAATGTCAGATGAATTATTTTCTTTGATAATAAAACTGATGATTTTGATGTGTTCAAAAATTACTTCATTTTATTCTACTTTATGTTACACCATTCTATTTTACTTCTTTTCATATTGAAAGAGCTCTTTAACCCAATTTTTTGCAACTCTGTTATTTGTCAGCAGTGACCACATGAGTAGGCGCACTGTTCTCGCATGAAAATTGGTACCGTTTGGCAGATTGATTCTTTTTCTTGGACCCATCGTTTACACGCATGACGTAAATCATAACATGAGCCAGTACTGCCGTTTCCGAATCGATATTGCTGCTTGACGGTATCTAAAAAGAATTTTTTCAATAGAATTTAGAAAATTATCGATGAAATACAAAGAGAAAAGAAAGATTGCGAGGTTTAATTGAGAGTTACACCAAATATTAATATTAAGTAAGTTGAGAAGAAATAAAGAAGAAAGAAATATGAGAGTAAATTAGATTATAGCGGTTAGTATTGAAGTTAAAGAAGAAAGACAAAGAAAATGATAGAGCAAAAATTATTTGCCGTTTGATCGGATTATTTCGAATTTTTCCTTTGGTTTAGAACTATTCATTTTTACTTCTTTCTTAGGATAAGTGATCAGAGTGATCAGCTATATCGTCCGAAAAGTTTCCTTTTTCCCCACATTTTTTGGTTAGCCTCACGGATGAAAGGCAACGAATGCATTATCAGATAATATTGCACATGATGTTTGAAAGCATTTGCATATGTGTTTAATTGATAAAATGGTCGTAAATGTGGCACAACAAATGGCTGTAACATCAAAAAGATAAACAATAATCAAAATGTAATGGAATTCATGAAGTGTATGATGTATAAGTGATAATAGTTAGAATTACTAAAATTTTTTATAATGCATATAACCATTTTCTCTGATAATTTACAAAATTTTTGTTTTTGTTCAAATTTAATATATCTAATAGAGATGATACGATGAAGATGAATGTTTTATGCTCGTTCAGTAACAAGAATGAAAAAGGAAATAATTCTATTTCTAGCTAAATTCTATAATTAATGAATTATGAAATAATTCTCAGTTTTATCTGGTATCATTTGTATCTGAATAAATGTAATGAATTTAAAAAAAAAAAAAAAAAAGATTAAATCAATTAAATCTAATCTTCATTCTTTTTCTTCTTTCTCTTTCTCTTTCTCTCTCTCCCTCGGAGGAACATCGTTTGATGTTTACTTATGCAATACTTTATGCAAACATTTTTCATTCTTTCAAATCGAAAATGAAATGATAGAAAGTTTCTATTTGGAATTTTTTTCAAATTCTAAAAATAACGATGCATGCATATCAAACACTTAATATATCAATCATTTCATTATCCAAATCTACCGCGACGAGCGGGAATTTTGGAAATTCTGTTAGTACCATTAATTCTGGCAATTTTTCGATGTGCTCGTTCAATGACCGCATCAGCAACTACCCGTATACCAGCCCAAGTTTCAGTTGCCGTTGGTATCAGTTGTCGTTCATCGAGAATAAATCCATCCCAATCTTCAACATGTAATCTTATCAATATAGCAATTACTAGCAATTTTTCTGATCTCTTCACATTTAACAACTATAATTAAGCTAAATGATACACTTTTGGAAATCATATCTCATTCGCTAACTATAATATTTTGTAATTGGTTCCTGAAAATATAGGAATACAATAATCATAAATATGTAATAAAATGATACTTTCTTTATAGATGATATGGGAGATTTGTAATGTTAGTAAATTTTACAATTTATGCTAATATTGTTTAAAACATG